CTTCTAAAGTAGAATTCCAAAACTACCCTTACTCAGTCTTCACGCGTTCGATCCAACCACATGTCCCAAGACATATCGAACGGGTCTTCAGAACGCCACGTGTTAGAATCTTGCTTTATAGTCAAAGTCAAATAAACGGACGGCTCTTCTTGCATCTAACTCGAAATTGTTTGGGAGGGTAAATTCGAGATTCCCAAAAGCCCATTTACAACGAAGGGGGAAAAAAAACCAGTTCTAAAACGTAGCGATCGAGAAAAAGAAAAAAAAAGTTGCTGGAGATTGAAGATGACCGATCCAAAGAGGTAAAAAGGGAATTTATTGTTTCGTATTTTTGATGCTCGATGTTGATGGCTGATGGATTCGGTCTCTGTAGAAACCAAACATAGGCTAGGGTTTCTTACAATTCCTGATTTGTCTCTCTGTGTGGTGTTGATTTGTCCCAAGGATTGAGGAACGTGATAAGCTTGTAGAAAGTATAGCTTCTAATACCAATTTGAGTGGAACTAATTTTGAAATGAAACCACTAGCAGGCTCAGTAAATCTGATATTGCTTGTATTTTGTTGGATACCATAGCACAATGATTCTGACAGAGAAACTTGTTACTGCTTGGTTTGATTTATGTGATTTTTCATACAATGATCCTTATAGAGACACTAGTTTTAGGTTTTGGATGAATTTGATGACTGTCTTCGTTCACATTGTTTTCCTTCGCCACGTTTAAATGATGTAGTAGATTCCTTAATTCGGCTTGGTAAACTCTTTTATGAATTCAGATTCTCTATTTAGTTGTGTGAGCGGCTAATTTGCCTGTAAAATTTATTATGATTTGAGTTGTTACGTATACCGTTGTGTATATTTATTTAGAAAGTTAGCAGATTCGATTTTGTTTGCTGGATTAGCCGGAGATAGAATACAAGTAGCTGAACATGAAGTATGTTTCTCCTTCTCAGAGCTTTCTTTTGCTTGTGTCTGTAACTTCTTGTAATAGAGTTGAGTATGATGCTACATCAGAACGGTATCTTGCATGTGTCTATGGTTTCATGTATTAGAGTTTATGGCTCAGATATTGGCTTGTTCTGTAAGGAGGTAGGACCGTTGTATAATAAAGTATAGTTTCTCTTGGGATTGCTTTGAACAGGCTGCTGAAAATTAGTCACTCTTGTGTAACATTAAGGATGTTCACTTTTATGGCAGGGGGCGTGTGCAATGGGATGAAGCTAATATAGTGGAAATTGAATCTAACAAACCTGTAAGGCAGAAGATTACTGAGCCAAAGACACCGTACCACCCGATGATTGATGATGATGGTTTGTCTGTTTCTCTTTATTTGGTTTCTGTTTGTGTATGCACAGAACTTATGATACACATTTGAGCATACGTTAGTATTTTCTGACATTTTTGCGTATACATATTTGTTATCATTGAAACATAAAAAAAAAAAAAAATAGAATATATGCTAACATAAAGTAAGCATAACTGAAAATGATTTGGTTTTAAAGGTTTGATATATCTAGGAAGTTGGACGATTACCACTCTTTTCGGGGTAAACCTTGTACCTGCTCTCGGTTGGTTGATTTGAAAATCTGTCATCCTAGATGTAGATTAACTTGAATTAGTTATGATCTTTTCTAATCCGCGAAAAAATAATTGGAATATTTCTTGTTGTTGTTACCTGATATGATTGGACCAGGTTCTCTGTCTCCTAGAGGAAGATCGTTTGACGAATGCGTTGAAGATATGGAGCGTGCTGAAGAGCTGAAAAATGTTCTGAATGATGCAGCAGCTTCTTCCAGTAGAAATACCAGCCAGGGGTCCGTTTCTGGTGGCTGGAGCTCGTCCGAGGAAGATTCAGATCCAATGGATCAAGATGAAGAAGGTCATCCTCGAAAACCAAAAAAATATTTAACTGTCATGTTCAGGCTCTTTGTTAGTTCATCACCATTATTTTCCCTGTCTTTTTGTGCTAAAATACAGATCCCGAAGGTGAGAAAAATGCACGTTTCACCGAACACAGAAGAGTACATTATGATGAGTTTCGGAAGGTGAAGGAACTGAGATCCTCAGGGTCGTTCTATGAAGAAGAAGAGGAAGAGGATGATGGCACAAAAGGCAGTAAATCAGAAGCTTCAACAACCTCACGACACACTAAAGGCGTTAACAAAGAGTTGGATGCAGCCACAACTGTATCGGGGAAGTCCTCGAGTTGATATGAACCTCTGTTCAATCAAATGTGTACTCTTGTCCAGCTCTCTTTCAATTAATATGGGTTTTATACTAATTGAAAACTCTTTCAAAAAGGAAAAAAAACCACAAACGTTCTGAAATGATGTTTTTTGTCGGTAATGCAATTGCTTACAATCACTTGTGTGCTCTTCAATGTTCTCGTCATAATTTTATCAATTCTGATTGTTTTGTGTTTCATTTGATCATTTCTGTATGAATGTGTTGTTTTCTGTCTGTTATTTTTTTTTTATTGAGAAAATTCTCTTATAAAATGTGGTTCAAATTTCACGATTGAAGATGATGATATACGTTAGTAGGAGTCGAAAACTGATTTGTTAAAACCATCATCAATGGCGAGTGAGGAAATGGAGAAGCTATCTTCTCAAATCTGCAACCAAATCTCCTCCGTCTTCTCTAACCCTACCAATCCTCATCCACCACCGTTAGATCTCCTCGTGACGGAGCTCGCCGGAGTCTCTCGCCGTAGCTCTCGTGTATTCCTCCACGGCGTCGGCCGCGAAGGTCTGATGCTCAAAGCCTTTGCGATGCGTCTCTTCCACCTCGGTCTCTCCTCTCACATAGTCTCCGACATGACCACACCTCCAATCTCTTCTTCCGATCTACTCATAGCATCAGCCGGTCCCGGAGGATTCTCAACCGTAGATGCGATTTGCTCCGTCGGTAAATCGTCCGGCGCTAGGGTTCTCCTCCTGACTGCGCAGCCGGAGAGAGGATCCTGTGTGAAACACGCGACGGCTGTTTGCTACGTCCCTGCGCAGACGATGGCGAGTGATGAGGCGGAGGAGAAGGGAGAGAGACGGTTGTTGCCGATGGGGAGTGTGTACGAAGGAGCGTTGTTCGTCTTGTTCGAGATGGTTGTTTACAAATTGGGAGAGGTTTTGGGTGAGTCACCTGAGTCCGTACGTTCTCGTCACACCAATCTCGAGTGAAAATTATGGCGTTGTTTTTGTATTCCGGTTGAGAAATGCTTGCTGTTTTTAGTTTGTAATCTACGACTTTGTAAGGAATGCTTGTTGTTTCTATTTTTCAGTGTTCATAACGATGCAATACTTAGTACAAATCCACAAAAGATGAATTATGAACATCTAACAACTTAACCAGCATCGCACCGACATGATGAATTATAGTTTGATGCTCTCAGTAGTGGTAGAAGACGTTTGTCAAGGAAGTCTTTTTTATTAGCAGGGGTCGATCTAACTTCATATTGTTTAACATGTCGCCAAGTAGAATCTCATTTCTTTCTATCCACTACTAAATCTCTTGATGCTCAACGACCCATCGATCATGTCGGACTTTGATCCATAAAAGATTCAATAGGAAGGTACCACCTCGCTTTGATGAAAGCCTTGTACATTCTAGCTCATTTTGTCTGCTTCAAAATACGGAAAAAAAAGAGAGAGAGAGAGAAAACCAAGGGTAAGGAAAGACTCTATCTTCTTAATACGTCTTATAGATAATTTAATGATATTACTCTTATATATATGATAGTTCATTGGCTACAAAACTCGAATATGTTGCTTCTTTAGATTGGAATGGGACATATTTTGGAATATTTTGAACTTAACATTGCGATATTTATTTTTCTAACAACAAAACTGAAGGATTTTCTTGCATGTTAGCTCAAGTTTAGAATTGTTTTTGACATTCTTCCAATATTTGTTTTTGATGACCATGAAAAATAAATCAGATGAATTTTGAATTTATGAACAATGGGTATCGAAAGATGGAGTTTGATGACATTCGTAAGCCCATTGGGCCGTCTACAAGTGGAAAATAGGATTCGAACTCATAAAACCAAAATAAAAGACTTACCATTTTCCACCAGAGAGACTGGAGAGAAGAGAGTTAAAAAAAAGGTAGAAAAATCGAGCAAGAACAATGCTCGAGCTTCTTGGAACTTACAGGAATCTCATACTTCAAATCCTCTTATCTCTCTTCTTAACCCTAATCCTCTCGTTTATCAGAATCCCTATCATCTTCCTCTACGGTCTCTGTACTTACATCCAACCGGAGAATCTCGGCCAGAACAACGCCGGAAGTGGAGTCAGAGCCGCGATTCGACGTCCGTCTAGTGTCGACGATCCAAAGTCCAATGTTGAAGTCAGGAGAAGGAATAGATCCAAGGATAAATCCGAATTCGACGAAAGCAATGCCCAGATCTTCCGGATTAAGCTCGATGAAGACCACCTCAGATCTCGAATGTATTTCAACGAGTATAATGCACTCTTCGTTTTATCCTTGTTAGCTCTTTCCTGCTTTCTTCTCCACAACTACTTCGGTGTAGACGATTCCCATGGCGTTCTGGGTAATGGATTGATGTTCCCGCTTGTTCTGGGATTTATCGCCTTGTGTAAGGTATTCGTTGCTTTAGCTAAGATTTCGATCGAGAGATCTGCTTCCAAGACATCTGAGAAGAAACTAAGCTTGATTTTTGGGGGTTTAGGGTTTGTTTTCGGGATTATAATCAGTGCTGGGGTTTTCCCTAAAGGATTTGATTTCCAATTGGGTTCCGTTGATGCCTTCTGCTGCATACTCATATCTTTCTCAATGGCTTGCATCGCTGGATTCCTTTACATGCCTGCAGGGAGAAGCGCTAGGTCGTTTTGGGTTGGAACTGATCAGATTAGGAGTAATTTGTCCATCATATCTTGTGGATGGTTTGGTAGAATGATTCTCTATGCGAATTACGTCGTATCGGTTTTCACTTCGTTGCTTTGGTTTCATCCATTGGCAGAGATTCTTGTGAAAAGAAGCCACAGTGCTGGAGCTAGGGGTAGCCACATTGGGTTGGTTGGTAATGTAGGCATGTCAACTACTGATTTCGCAAAGTTTCGGGTTCTCTGCTTGTTACTTTCGGGTTTACTACAAGCCATGGCGGTTCGACCTAACATCCAGATGTTTTTGAATGAAGCAGTGCTCTCATGGTACCAGAGATTACATGGAAGCAAAACTCCTGATCTTGAGTTTAGCCGGGCAAAGATGTTCCTTCACAACCACTACTTATGCCTCGTCGCTTTGCAGTTCTTGGCGCCACCAGTCCTTGTGATTCTCTTCCTCGGCTTGTCTCAGATCGACTTGAGCTCTTTTGCTGTATCTCAACTGGTATGTGGTTCTTTGCCTTGCAGCGATTTCGTTAGACAAGTGGGTTTGTTGATGTCTTGGTGGATTATCTTTGTTTGGTCGGGTTTTGCTTCAGCAAGTCTTGTCTTCTATCGTCGTGGTGTCTTATATGTCTCTTGAGAACTCTCTGAAGCTTTTTTTTTTCCCAACATATTTTTATGTATTAGAGAAACTTGGTAGACACACAAACAAATCGGTTTTGCAAAATATAGGCTTTCGTTCATTTGTTTGTTTGTTCTACTTGCTATTCAGAAGTTTCTACTTGTCTCAAATTTTTCTCATCTTCTATTATCTCCTACGCTCTCACAAAATGTTCGGGAAAGAGAAAAACACGAGAATTAGCTAAGCTGGTACACGAAGAGCAGCCTTGATCTTGTGAATGGTGCAAGCGATGAGGTTGTTAACAGTTTCCACAGATTCCACGCTGAGTTTTGCAGTTGGTAGGCTGTTCACTAAGATCTGAAATCCTAGTGTCAGGAGACACCCTTGACTTTCACGATTCACCAAACCTCCATCGGTATCAATCTGCTCAGACAATGACGATGATCCATCAGGCAATATGGAGAACCCGGATGGAAGAAGGGCCACATAAGCTGAATCTCCACCGCTCATGACATTGTTCATAGATGGGATATCGACAGGCGCGTAAACCACTAGTGCACCAGAGGCGTCATTCCACGTCTCTTGCAGGATTAGCATACTGCTCTCACTTGGATCTTTCCCCTACAAACATGTTATTGCAGAACAGAGATCAATTCACAATTGGAATCTGTCTCTCTTATGTACTGAGATTCACAATAAAAATATAAACTCACAGCAGGACGGAGAAGAGAGACACAGCTTCCTTGGCGTTGCCCTTTTGGGACGAGAAGCATGGTTTCCATTGCAGCACCATTAGACAAAATATCCCACTGGTTTCTGTATTTACCATCACAGAGAAACTCAAACAGTCTTTGCTGAGTCACTGGTAGCCACAGAGACGTTGCAGCACTCAGGACAATACCAGACGGCAAAAGGCTCTTCTGGGTCAGTAGCCTTGTGTCATGTCCCACGTTCTCAGCTAGAAGCTTCTCCCATTTGCACATAGACGAAGCAGTAACACCCGAATAAAAGTTGAGCTTCATACGCTGTGCGAGCTCTAGTATACTCTTGGTACCAGCAAGTGACAAACCTATCAGAAAACATAAATACCATAATCGTTTTTCTTAAGTGGTTGACTCTTTCAAATCTCAAAAACATTTGAAGATTCAAAAAGC